AAGTGTAAACAAATAGTTTGAGCCCCTGCAGTCCCCAAACTCCCGCCGTCCCTCCCATTTCAACAGCAAATCCCTGAAGAAGCCCTTGGTGTGCGAGAGCAGCGTCCTGAGACCCCTCCCGGCAGCTTCATGGTGGCCGTCCCTCTGTAATCCGCTTACGGGAACGCCACGAGCCACACGGCCTCACTGAAACCAGGATACACGGCATAACGGCCACACTTGTGCCAAGAGGCCCGTTTACACGGCGGCAGAAGGAAAACACATCGGTCTGACATTACCTGCTCTTGACAAATCGCCACGCGGCCGTGTTTTACCTTCCGGGCACTCACAACAGCAAAGGCTGAGCCCAGAGGAACGGGAATGTGGTTAAAAGCAACCAGAATTGTGACGGGGAAAGGTGACCGGCACCTTCAAAAGGGCTCTCCTGGAGACGCGCTAGAACAGTGGTCGGAAGCTGCATTTTAATTTCTGACCAATCTGATACAGGAGACCGATGCCGTGGATCATAAATTATAACAGGATGATTCAACAGTCTTTGGGGGAATTAAGACATACGGACTGCATTAAACACATTTCACACAACAGTATACTGAAGTTGCAGGTTTTGCTCTTTGGTTTTTTTGGGCGATAGCGGGGAGAAATGTTTTCCTTTTATCTTTTTTTTTCCTTTTAACATTCAGGCCAGTGTAATTCATTGTTTAAACATCAGGCATTAAAAAAATAAATAACAATAAATAAAAAGGACAAACTTATTGATCCAAAAGTGTCACAGAACTGCACTCCCCGTCATGCATTTAATTCCTCTCAGGAAGTGGCAAAGAAAGGCCAGAACTATTATAACAAAAATATATAACCCTCCCTTTTTCCTTTAACATAATCATTGTCAAATGTTGCATTTTTTCTGATGAGAGCAGGGTTCTTGACAGCTGCACAAGTTCCAAGAGGGTTTTAGTTCTAGAATTAATATGAAACTATTAGGGCAGTCTAAGACTTTCCAGACCCACCCTCAAATGGCACCGTATGCACAGAAACTAGCATGAAAATATTTACTTGGTTAGTTTCATGGGTTTTTTCTTTTATTTATATTCTATATTTATTTAGTTAATGGCCTAAATTGAACTTTACGTAAATAGAAGGCACACCCTAAGCTCCCTATAATACAATTATTTGTCACAAATTAAAAGAAAAAAAATCCTGATAAAAGCAGCAAGTATCACAGGAAAGTTCTTGGGCACATATTTTTATTATCTTTAAGCACTGCAATTACAATAATCTCCACGGGATTGAGATGCTAAATCCTAGAAAATACCAGATAAATTATGCTTTAAAATATTTTTTGTACTTTAAAAAATATCTATTTTTGTACTTTAAAAATATCTATTTTTTGTATTTTTGTACTTTAAAAATATCTCTTTTTTAAAGTATTTATCACCATTATGCAGAAAAACATAGATTAAAACTTAATTACTTATAAAATTATTTCATCTCTACTAAAATGCAGTTTCATCTAAACACTAAGTTTGGTTTGCAAATATTGCCATGTTAAAGTCGAGCTGTGGAGGAATCCATCCACGCATTATAAAGGGCCATCCCACTAAGTTGCACTGAGACTCTGAAGTTCTGTCACTTTTTGCTTTTTACACCTTTTTTTTTTTTTTTTTACATCTGTATATGACTATGGAGGAAGCAACTACAAGACTCTCCCTACATCAGAATGTCTTGTGGTGGGGCTGCAACTTGAAACTACAGCTGCTTTATATAATCTCTAAGTCTTGTCACTATAAAAGACTAGAGTCCTTTTCTCTCCCCCAAATGCAGTAAGCATACATTTGGCTGGAATTGCTATTTTATTATTAGGATAATCTACTACCAAATTTGGGGATAGTTTTGTAGAAGACTAATTAAAATCGATTCAGAAAATGGAAAGCTCACTCTCAAGTTTTAATAGAAGCTGAAGGAGCAGCAAACTTCCTTCATTAACTTAGTGGACTCTGGACAGGAAGAAATGGATTTTTGGAGGATGAGGTGCATGTGTGGAGTACACATTTTAGCACCGGAAAGGCACTGACAGACGGAAGCGAGTTGCACAGAAGGTGACTATGATACCTTCACGGTGGTCTCTGGTGTCATACCGTGGGGACAGCAGCAGTACGATGCCACTGTCACACCAACAGGCTGACTAATGCCTGCTGGAGGAAGAAGAGGAGAGCACACTCAGTGATAAAGATCTCATTCCACACTGTGCCACGGGCCAGCCCAGAGAATCAGCCATTTCGAATTTACCCATCTTTTGGTTTATGGGAAATAAGCCAGTGGGATACTGGGATGCAAGTGATGCAATGGGAATATAATAGTGCACATGCAGGTTTGTAGAATGGTTTTGCAGTGCAAAATGACACAGCTAACCAAGCTGTTTCTTCTGAGTGGCAATACGTGACCTTACTGGAGGCATGATGTCCCCCCATGCTTTCACTCTCTTTTCCCCATGAGCTTTTGAAGCTGTTGGGCAATTTCAGTCTCACTTGACAAAAAGCAACAGCCTCAAATCAACTGGGTTTCCAAAGTATCTTATAAATCCCTGACAGTGTCGATGAAAGATCCAGTTATTGCTACCACTAAGGTAAAGAGCAGAGATTGCTCAGGCATTACCTTGAGCTTTGTTTTGCTTCGGCAGAGCAAAATACGAAGAAGTGGCTGAGCTCTCCAGACCTCCAAAGCACCACCAGAGACACGCAGGGCAGGCGGGGGTGAAGCTACACTAGCAGCAGAGCCTCGTGAGTAACACGGGCCACACATACAGAAGGCAGCTTGCGGCTCAGGGCTGGCGGGGACAGCAGATCCTCAGCCCATCAGGAGTTGTTATTTCCACCACCTTCCTTTCCTAATCGTGGAGGACGGCAGGAGCACCCGTGGTACTTGACAGCAACAGCGATGTTATTGCTGCTGCCTGGCTTTGCCTCCCCAGCAGGTCTCTTTTCCAGCCTTTCTCCCAGAGCAGGGATTGCCCTGGGCTAGCAGAGCCGGGCAAGAGCCCGGCCTTCACAGCGGGGCAGGGGAGAAGGCAGAGGTGCCCTGGAAATACTCCGTCCCGACGCACGCGCCAGGTTTCCTGTGGGTGCCGGTCCCTGCCGAAGCGCGTGTTCAGCACCCGCTACCCTGAGGGCTGCTATTTGTAGCGTGGGGATACGGCTCCGTGCCCTTCCTGCGCACAAAGTCACACCAAAAGTAAAAGGAGGAGAATGAAGGAGCTCTCGGTGCCACCTCAGGCAGGAGCCGCCTCAGCGCGAGCAGCTCTGGAGGGGCGGCCGCTCCCGAGAGGAGCTGCTTAAAAATACAGCATTCCGCGGGAAGGAGAAGTTTTAAATAAACCTGCAAAAAAAGGTAACACAGACACACGGCTAATTTTTACACTGAGGAGGAAGAAGGGGGGTCAGAGTGGGGAAGGACGCCGGAGGATGGAAGAATTTAGAACACGAATCTGCTCTGGTCCTGTGCTAAATAGTTCCAGCTTTGATCTAAATTTAGGCTGCGAGCACTTCCTGTGGGAGACCGTCTTCCAAAGCTGCAAAGGATTTGATGCTAAATATTTTCAGTGATTTTATAATTGGGGTGAAGTAGTTATTTGCTCAAAGCCCTGGCCTTCGGCTAGATAAATGCTTACATTATTTTACATTCCCCACCATTTCCTCTCCTTCCCCACGCTGGATTTCTCCTGTTTATTCAGCAACACGTTCCGCTGAATTTTAAATAGGTTTGAAAATTATATTTAAAATCAGAAGGAACAACAAAAGCTCCACTGTCATTTTTTCTTACAGAACAGCCGCTGCTCCTGGCTTCTCCTCACCCCAACACTCATGAAGCCCCAAAACCTCGGCCCTTACTGCTATCAGGACTTCTGCATCACTTAGTGTTTTTATTGCATTCCCAATTCCTGGACCTTCTTCTAGTTTCGGCTCCTGTTGCTCTTCAGGGAGAATCTTTGGCTTCAAATTTTAAGAGATCACAGTACATCTACAGTCCATAATCCAATCCCCCCTAATCCCTCTCTTGACCTCAAAAACACGAAGCCTAAAAATAAAAAATAAAATAAATACACTGCTCATTTTTACGAAGATGATAGTATCAGCGGCCTGGTTTTCAAATGCTTGTGGGTGGCAACACTTGAAGAAAGACCTAAGTCTCTTTCTTTAAATTTAGTCGATAGTTGTATGTTTACCTTTAGGGTGAGACTCAACTTGTCTATCTTTAGTCATGAAAAAGTAAGGCACCTACTTAAAACTAGTTGTCTAGGCTACCACTAGTCAACTATTTTAAACACGTTTTAGGATAAGATAAATTCCCCCCCATGAGGAATTATTTTTGCCATAAGCCATAAAGGACTTGCCTGGGTACCTAACTTCACAGGGGACAAAAACCAGGCTTTGCGGCAGGGTTCTTAACACAGGTTTCTAAGCTTTAAGTTTCCTCCATAGAGGGCATGAAACTGAAAACCTTAGCTCTTGGGAAGAAAAACATCTAAAAGTCATGATTTTGATCGAATCAGTTATTTCTGTGATCATACATTTTTTAGTGAGTGATTCACCCTTCTTGTGTAGCATCCTATTTTAGAGACTAAAGGAGATCTGCATTTAATCCAGCATTAATTTATGGCAATGTCATTGATTTCAATGCATAAGGAATGAAGAAGTGAAATTATTATTTTTTTATATAATAATTTATTCTTGTCAGCTTAACTGTGAACTTCTTGTTACCCGTGTGTTTTTGGCTAACCAAGCACCAGGCTCTCACTGAGAATCTGAGCACTCCATCTCTAGTTATACTTAAGGCACTACAACAGAGTAACTTTATGCAGATCTGAGCTAATATTCAGGCTTGAGGATTAATCCCTGCAGAAAACTGTGTATTTTGGCTCAGTTTCCCCCTAAAGCATAGGAAAGAGCAAAAAATTACAACTGCTCCTACATAATGGCAATAGCTGTTAGGTGCTATTAAAAATAAAGAAGCAAAGAAATCTTAGAGAAAGCTTGTAGAATTGAGAGTAAAATACCACAACGTAGAATGCTTGGTCTCCATGTTTTGTGATTATGACCACTGCTGTAAAAATGTCTATCCATCCTCAGCCTTAAAACAGAATATACAAAATGTTTTAAACTATTTATCAATATATATATACACACGATAATAAAAATAAACCACATTTGAAACAAACAAGCCCAAACCCCATCAGCACATTAGAAATACACTATGCTTTAAAGCGAGGGATACAGCTGTGAGAGAGAGTCATCTCTATCTCTGTAATGTTTCATCTGATCATGATTTAGCAACTGAAGTTTCATGCACAGGGCACTCCCTAGGGATTAACAACCAGCTGGGAGTGTTGAGAGCTGACAGCACAGGACAAAGCTAAGGATCATTAACTCCTGCTAGTTATGAACTCCCCAGAAAATGTCTTATGCTAAAATTGATATTGTAATTACCCTTTTTATAAATAAGTACTAATACTGAAGTAGTAAATTGCTTCTGCTATGCCACTTCTTTTTCTTTTTTCTTTTTGCAAAGCTCTGAAAACTTGATGATTCTGGGTGATATGAATATGAGGCTTTTTGAAAGCAAATTCTGCCAGTGGAGTAACACTTTTTAGTACAGATCCTAACAACATATGGTCTAGTAGTAGTTCAGCTGCACAGCAAAGTAATCCTGCACAAAACACAGATAAATTCTGAATATAAAATCCTACATAAATAATGACACAGAAAGATAGGATAGATACTCCGAACTATTAATCATCTACAGATTGAAACCTTTTTTTTTAAGTTACAATCCACCACCTAATTGGCACAGATACATGGAAAGTCTATTTGCCTTAATTTTAATTTGGAGGCGAAGCGTAGTACAAATAGCTGTGATATGAAGTTTGTATCAGCCCTTTCCAACAGGTGCTGTCCTTGAGCATTAACCTGCTTCCCATGGCACAAGCAGAGCTATTACACTGGGCTAGTCTGAAAGCCCACGCAGCCCACAGCCCTGCAAGAGCAGCCTATGGGAAAGAGCACAGGAAGAGCTGTGAACACGTTAGCATTAACCCGCAATTAGCAGTATTTCCTGGCTCCCAGCTGGGAAGGGGCACCTCAGCTTCGAGTCCCCGTGTCACCCATCTCCTTCCCAGCACAGCCCATCGGTCACACGGCTGGACCGCTCTTTCAGGCAGAGTGGTGATCACAACTTACTAACATAAATTGGAAAAATGGACTCAAGATTGGATCTGGGAGGACAGGTAACATGTAACAGAGAGAGGACACTCCTGAAGCGTCAAGAAATTACTCTTGAAGGAAGCCTGCAGAAAAACCCAAAGGAAGGAATGCAGGCCTAGAGCATCCGACTCGCACGCAATGCGAAGACTTTCTTACCTGTTCATTAGGCTCAAAGCTTATCTCTTCTTTTTCCGTCCTCATAGCTATTAACTTTGTGCTACCGGAAGGGTCTGTCTTACTGTCCAACCGCTCCAGTTTTGGGGGCATGTCTGGTAAACCAATATCTTTAGTATCATCTTTATCTAGCAAGTAGCGAAGTAGTGCATTATTATTCTTCTTAGGACTCGCCGGCTCCTGTTTAACAGTCACCTCCGAACCAGGAGCTGTGCTACTGGACTCCTGGTTCAGTTCTTTGCCCGTGGCCTCGGCTGTGAGCTTGGCCAGATCTACAGGAGAACTACTGTCCTGCAATAGTCTGTGCAAAATTTTATGCTTCTCCTTGAGCGAGGTTCCGTGTGCCGAGCCAGACCCAGCCAACCCTCCAGTGGACTCCTTGCTGACGTCTGCCATGGTGCTGGACAGCGGCGAGGGCTCCATCTGATCCGATTTGGTGGTCAGCAATTGCAAGAGCTTCGTCTGGCTTTTTCCATCGTGCAGTTTGCTCTGCCCATCAGGCCTCTCGCCACCCACCACCGGCGGCAGGCCGCCCTCAGCGCCGTCCTTCTGCTCCCCTGAATGGCAGCTGCTCTCTGCTTGTCCAGTTGTACCTTCGGGTTGCTCCCCATAAAGTCCAAAGCAGTCCTTAGAGTCCAGGCTTCCCATCTTGCTCAGCTGGGGAGGGTTCATATTCACAGGGGAGTTTTGTACATTTCCCATTTTTAGGTCAGGCGAAGCCAACGAGGATCCGAGCGCGACGCCATGGCCCTCACTGAGGGCCTGCAGGGCGTTCAGGGAGCTGTTGGTGTAATTATGGCTATTTCCTGTGCTGCTGCAAACTCCCACAGGTGAATGCAAGCTTCCTGCAGGGGAAAACTGACTGGGTGGGATGCGCGGGCTTCCTGCCACTCCCGGGCTCACGCGATGCCGCGGGGAAAGCATAGAGTTTGGCTGCCCCGGGTTCATGCCGGGGCTGCTTTGAGAGGGGCTGTTCATTTTTAGTGCATAGTTACTACCCTGAGGAGTGGATGCTTGCATGCTCGCCACGTGGTTCATGCCCCCGGCACCGCCAAACCTGCCCGCCGGCAGGCCCATTTGTTCCTTTGGGCCGTTTATGGCAAAATTTATATTGCTACTGATGGTCATATCCTGACCTGGGTTCCCGCCGCACATGGCCTGATGGGCAGGGCTGCTGGAGCTAATTGGGTTCAGTATCTTCCCCATTCCTTGTCCAGTCAAGTCCTGATTCATTCCACAGACATTCTGCTCTCTGGGCGGCAAGGGGAAGAAAAACAACCTATTAGCTAAAATGACAGTGGCCAACTTGCAATTACATTTCAAAAAAAGAAGCAAAACCCCAAACCTCACCTTAAAATAACACAACCACCCTACAATTAAAAATAACTTGACAATTTGACAGAAGTGATACGCGACTATCAACATGGCTCCACATTAAAGGTTTGGTTTTTCTGTAGCTCATTAACAAATTAGTGGAATGGAGGAAAAACAAAATTATACCTCGTTTAAATGACAGCCATTAGAAACGCAGACAGGTTATAATTTCAGACTCTCTCCATATAAAGTATATCTCTTCTCTACAGTAGAGCAAGAAATAACTTCTATTAAGAGAAAGTAATCTCATCTTAAACAGATGACCCAACCAAATACGTGTTTTACAAAACAGCTGTAGACAGCTGTTTTCTGGAGTTTTGAATTTCTATGAGCTAGCCCTACCACAACCCTGGAGTGGGCTATTTGCCCACCACGTTCATAGTGAAAAGCAAGTTTAAAAAGTCACTTTTCTGCACTGCCAGAGTATTTTGATACCGCTTACCGCTCCAAAAGTGTGAGAGCCAAGAAAACTACTGGATACCACTTCAGAATGGGAACAGTGTGTTAGCAATCTAACACAGCGCACACACTTGGGGCAAAAAAAACACACATACAGGCTGAAACTCCTTTAGACATGAAGGCTATAAAAGGGAAGAAGTGGAAGGGAGACATACAAGGCAAAAACTTTTGTGAGGGTGCCTAGAAGGTGCTTCCTCATTTTCACTGTCGACTTCAATTAGTTTAGGTGAGGATGCAAGATTCTCTTTACTTCTGTGCTAAAACTTAAACCTTAAAATCCAACTTATTCCCAAATGTTGAAAGCCATAAAAAAGACACAACCAAAGAGATTAGAAGGAAAAAAATAGCATCTGAGACAAATCAAATTCAATCTTGGCTTCCAAAAAACAAATGCTAATGGAGCGTTTCTAGTTTATGTTTTTCTGTTAGATGAGAAACATTCCTACTTGCACAGAGTAAGTGAAGATAAAGCTTCATGTTTTGCTAATGCACGGTAAGTGGAAGAATTCAAACACAGTTGAGAAACCTGTCATTCTATGTTTGTTAACTTAGGTGTAACGGCAAAAGTGAACATTAACTATAAACAGAAAGGTGTATTTTTAAAACCATATTGCAATTACGATATCGTTGGTGCTCTGTTGAAAAAAAAAAGAAGGAATATTTTTAAGTAGAATTTTTGATTTAATAGCACTTTTAAAAATTTTAAAGCCAGCACTAAATGAAGTATCAAGTATATTCATCCACTCAAACAAAGCTTTAAATTTATAAAAAGCTTTTGGTTGGGTCTCTTTCCAAATCTTCAGTGTCTGTAAAATGGTTTCAGATTTAACACATTTGGAGCTGTTTTCTTATTCTCAAACAAGTAGTGCTGAGGATAGAGGGAAACAGCACTGTAATATAATCATCAAATAAAATCTGAAACAAAATCTGACACAAGTATACCAGTACATGCAGTGACTTAATTCAGATTTTATTTTGAAGTTCTTAGGTGAGTGATTATTCATCCTTCACTTTAATATATTATCAGTTATGTCTTTTATTTTTGTAACTGAGAATGGTGGCATTTATCAGAATTGGTTGCCCGAAATCACTGCTCCAAGCATCAAAAAAGACAAGGGACAGCGAATCTTAAAATAATGTGGTTTCTCCAAAATGCGGTTTCAATAATCAAAATATATTATTTAAAGAAGACCCATATCCTATACATGGCTGATTCTGAACTACAGCAATTTAAATTTTTAAAGGCTTCAAGAATTAGCTGCATCTGGCGAGTTTCTTGCGTCTGCTTCCCAAAACACAGGAAATCAAAATACTGAAGTCAAGAACACGAGCCTAAAGAATCATTTGTAAAGTTTAATGGCAGATCTTGATGTGAAAATGCAGCATGAGGTTTGTGTTACTACTGAAATCATCTTCCAGTCTTTTCCTACTGTAAGTGTTGATTGCAAAAACTTACTTTGTTCTCATGCTATCAATTCTAGGTCAGCTGAACGTCTATCAATCCAAAAAAAAAAAAAAGGCTATTACATTGGTAACTTTGTATTTTATTTACAAAGCTAGAGAAAGCGGTTGGACTCAACTAGCCAGGATTACCTTTGGAGCATATGCAAGGAGATTACGAGCTGAGGTTCACTGGTAGTCTGAGAACGGATGAGCTTGCTCTTCGTTTGGGCAGAAACGATAGTGCCGTCGGACAAGGAAAACCGGTACACGGGACTGAACGCCAGGCCCTGCCTCAGCACTGCGGGGAAGCAAAGCAAGAGCAGCGGTGAGAAACTGGAGCCTGTAGCAGCTTATACACACACGGTTCAAAGCTCCTAAGGCATCAGCACTGATACTACAGACACAGTGCAATTTCTCAGAAAATCAGAGGAGGAATTTTGAAAAACAAATAGATGGGATGATATAAAATAAAGGAACACACATAGCGCAGAGTGATTGCGGAAAAAAGCCTAAGAAGTGACACTAAAAATGGGATAGATATTGTGAAATACGAAATATTTCAGGAGTGGGTCAGGAAGCCCTTGCCATCCACATCCCTTTTCTTCAGTTGTGTCTCTAACTCCGTTTGTTGCTCATGTATTTCTTAATCCTTATCACCTAAAATAGATGCTCAATATAAACGCCTTCAGTTTTCAGATCATCTGTTTTCACTGCTCTCTACCTTCTCCTCCTTATTGCTCTCCTTATAGCAGTCACTACTTCTTTAATTTAAAATTTACATAAATCTTTTACATGCAAAAAAAAAATGTTTGAACAGTTGGAATAAACAATTATTAATTTTTGAACAACTTGAAGCCAACTCCTGTAGTTCCCTGCAAGATCTCTTTAATTAAAACTGAAAATAATGTTAGGAAAAAAGAAAAGCTTTAAACACTTCTCATACTGTTTACTCTTTGTCATCAGTGAAGCACCATTTTTCAATTTCTAGTCCAGAAGCTATTGCATTTGGATCGCAAATATTGCAGAGGGCAAACAGGCAACTTCAGAAGATTCTTGTTCATATAGTTATTTAGGAGGAAAAATAGGAATGAAAGCAGTATAAACACTTTTATTTTCCTATTTTTTTCATACAGATTTATTTTTTGTCCTGCCATAATAAGCTGACATGGTTTTCCAAGGGGGCTTTTTAAAGACGCGTCCTCTAAGCAGCGAGGAGACTTCAGATTTGCGAGCAGCGGTTACGACTGCTTTCCTTCCCTGCCCCCCGCTGCTATATATTGTTCTGCAAGGTTTTAAAGTATTATTTAGGCAGCGAGAAAACAGGAAGCACAATTTAAACAGCCAGAAGGGCTTTTTTTTAGAGTAAAAATGTAAAGAAAAACAAAACCCTACAACTGTGAAACAATACAAAGCCAAATTTCACTGTTAGGTATGTCATTGTTTCAGTTTAACCTTTGGGCACCAGAAGGTCCAAAGCTCTTAACTTTAGCATATACCACATCAGGAAATTCCACTACTCAATGCCAACAGGATACAAGTGAAATCTCTACTTAAATCATTTTCCAAACTAATTCTTTAAGCAAACAAAAATGTTTCCGTATTCCTCTTGAGGAAATGCTGTTTTTCTGACTGTGACCAATAAAAACTTGCCATATATTCTGTGATTTATACTGAGAACTAATGTGAAAGGTTTGCGTTTTTTATTGTTGATGAAGCTGATGCTGATATTTTACCCACTGTGATGCTGCATTATGTGTAGGAGATCTTTAATTGTTCCTATTTCCAAATCATAACGAAAAATCTAATGTAAGTTAATAAATGCAAGGCATTTTTTTCAGTTGAGTACGAAGATGCTACTGGCCTAAGATATTCCCTGTTTTTCTTCCCTATCCTGCAGCGCATGGGGAAGAGACATTTCAGTCTTTATGTCCTGTTACTGTTGGTTCTTTTGGTAGCAAAACATTTCCAGGTTCTTGTCACTGATCCTCTTGCCATTACACTCTGCTTCTTCAAGAAGAGCCCCCTCATTTACACTAATTCTACAGTCTGCCTGACTATCCTAAGCCTTTCCTGCAAACCGATGCACTTAAATCCCCCAAATATGTAAATATGTTAGTTTAGAGAGGACCCACTCAAATACCCACACTAAATGGGAGAGCTGGTAATTTAGTCAGAAAACTTTTGAAGAGGATTGAAACAACAAGGGGCTGGATGCCATAACACCAACTCTGAAATTACCTCTGGCACAGACAAATACTTACCCTGCAATTGCCCTTTATATCCTTATAACAACTTCAACAGCACAGTATATCTTTTGGCTCTGCCAGCAATCGCAGCCTAAGGTTGTGAACTATTAGCTCTCCTCTAGAGCACCAATTATATTGTGTAACTTGGATCCATGATACTAGAATTAGCAACGACAGGACCTTACAAGAAGGAAAATCCAGTCTTTACCACAGAAACCCCACGGGGAGCCTTTCGGTATTGCCTGACCTCTTACTCTCCATACTCTTGACTACGCGGATGAGGAAGAAGTTCCTCACTGTGAGGATGACAGAGCTCTGGAACAGGCTGCCCAGAGAGGCAGTGGAGTCTCCTTCCCTGGAGATCTTCTAAATCCGCTTGGATGCCACCCTGTGCCACGTGCTCTAGGTGACCCTGCTGGAGCAGGGAGGTCAGACTACATGATCTCCAGAGGTCCCTTCTAACCTCAACCATTCTGGGATTCTGTGACGTGCTTTTGGTGTATCCTGTACCACGGATCAGGTGGGCACAATGCAACAGGGTTGGCTTCCAGAGAGCCCAAGTGCTAAGGCTCTGCTAAGTCACACAGCAAATGTGACAGAAAAATCCCATTTTTGAGGAGAAGTGGAATACAGGCCAATGAACTGCAACATGTAAGCTGAGATTGTTAAGAATCCATTGTGAACAGCTTTTGGGACAACACTGAAAGGTCCTTCTTTCTACTTCTTTAAAAGAATTTCAGTAATCTGAAGTTTTAAGGCACTCACTAATATGGCATAGTTATAAACAGAGGACTAAGAAGGAAACAAGGAGAATGGCGGAAAACCTCTCTAGAGAGAGTCAACAGTGTGTTAGAAAAATAATTTTTATAAAGGTCAGATTGTTCCGCTTAGGTATAATACAAGGGGAACACAACAAATAGAGATGCACAACAAACAGTTTAAATATAGAAAGCACTAAAAATATGAAAGCTAACCTTCCTGATGATGTCTCTTGGCAAAAGATATTTCTCCCTCATGTTGTGAATGGAACCTTTGAATGCATCTTCTCACCAAGTCCTCCCAGCCAGGCTTCATGGCTGCTCGCATGGTACTTGTGTCCAGTGAAGTTATTTTGCCTGATTTCAGATAAAACATTTGACATGTTTGTTACAGCAATTTCCCTTTTGAGGAGGGGGGATGGTGGGGAAAAGTTTAAAGCTCCCATTTCACAATACCTTGTAGATCCTGGCGAGTAGTAAAGCTCTCTGATGAGGGAAGAAGTGGTCTCTCCTTCATCGGAGCTCTTCTTGCAACACAAATCAAGCAAGACTGCAAATCTTAAACAAAAATGTTACTTCAGTAATTTGTACAGAGAAAGGAGGATTCCTTTTGTATTAAAGAGAGTAGATTTTGTACCAATAAAAGGAAAGGACAGAAAGAACTGAATGGTTTCAGGTCTTCATTGTTTCCTATAACACTGAACATCACAGAGGAGTGGTTTTGCTTGTTTTTTTGGAAGGAAACTTATGCAAGTACTCCAGCATGGCCCATAATTACTGGCATACACAAACATCTGCTTTTCCATGCTTATGCATAAACCTGTAGTTCAACAGTCCAGAAAATCTCTAATCACAAACAATACATTGCAGGCACAGAGGTTTTCAACACTTACCGTTTTGTACTGTCTAAGCCACATTGCTTAAATACGTCCCTGAGGCAAACAGCTTTATAGCAAGCCAGTTCTGCTTACCTGAATGTTTAAAATACAGTCTGAGGAAATTTACCTGCTGAAGTAGTAAATGGTAAAGGAAACAGTGAACCACAATTATCTTCACATTCTGAGAACTCAAAAAAATTGCCAATTGAAACCTTCCTCCCCGTTGGCTGCGGGTATCTCATTAATGCATATGGAGTTACCTTCCACTTAAAAACTACTAAAGCACAACCCCTTGAGTAGGTGCTGTTGTACAGACTCATATTTCAGGATGAAAGAAAGCCACAGCTACCCAACAAAGGGAAAACCTACAATTTTTCTATTTTCCAGGCTTCAGAAGAAGCCACTCTCTCAACTTTACACCACTACCGACTTGAGAAAAACACGGAAAGAGAGTGCTTATTACCTTCACCGTCCTCCTTGAAGGAATTTGGTTGAGAAACAGCAAAGCACTGCATAGTTTCATATTTCTGATGTGCTTCCTGGTTATCATGGCCTTCCTCAGAATCAGCAAGAGGTTTCACCAGCATGCGACAGTTGAAGGTATGGCTGTTACGCCGAGGAGTGTCACCAGACCAGGGTCCCCCGTTCACTGAGCAAAGCAAAGAACACACACAGAGGTAAATCTGGGGGCACCAGTTCCTGCTGCTCATCCACAGAAAATGAATCATGGTGCGTTGCAAACTGGGCGGGAAACAAGCTCATTTACCACCACCACTGTATTTTTAATAACACAGCCCAAACCAGCACATAACGAGGAATTTCATGAAATTATCATCACGTAAAAGCACTGCTGCCTGGTTTTTTTCTGAGCTACCATGACTTTTCAAGCAACATATTATGGTAGTGGCAGAAAAGCAGAATTAAAGTCTAAATATTGGTGCATGTAAAAGTGACAGACCACAGGGAAATCCCTACTGGGTAGAACAGATTAGCTTATATCCACAAAAGAGAAAGCATTACTATATATACATTCGTGTCTAGATTAGAAACAGAAAGAAAAGGAAGTAATATGCACTGTATAGAAACAGGAAGCAAAGCAATCAAAAATAAATTATAACACATAACTCAGCTACAAGAAGGAAGGGATGAGAATGACCTGAGTGCAGTGGTGGATAAAACTAAAACCCTAACACAGTGCTTAAGAGAAGTAAAAAAGGAAAGCAAATCCTGGGAGGCACAAATATAGGTACTGGACATCAGTCAGAGCAAATTAATGTAACAGGACATAACAGAATAGCAGGTTATTATTTAAAAATACTCTTCACTGTCCTCTTTGATCTTAAAAGGCAGTAAAGGTAGTAAGTCATGAGTTTTACCAATCAAAGGGATTATGTTTTTTCTACTCTTTGAGGGTTTATATGTAAAGTCTTAAAACATTAATGTTAATTACATAACACTTCTAAATTGGTATGAGTAAATAAGAAGTACACTGTATTCACTTTCTCTCTCCTTTTACCCCAGGTCCAAAAAACTATGATATTAAAACCAGCACCAGTATGAATGCATAAAGAGTTGCAGCTAACAAAAAAAAAATCAGTTTATAAAACAGAAGTGTAAATATTCATGAGAATAAAATCAAAAAAATCAGTTTTTTAGTATAAGGAGTTATTAGATTTTTACAAAATATCCCCCCCCCCGAGACCTTATCAAAATAATCAGATAGAGATGTAACAGAGAATTCACATAGCTAATGCTGTCTTGAAAGTATCAGTTAATATTAGTGACTGCGAGAAATTTTAAACAATGAAGCTAAATTGGAAGAGTGGAGGATGCTTTGGGGAAAAATAAAAATCATTCATACAGCCTGGATGTACACTACAAATAAACAGTGCATATGATGAAAGTGAATTAGAGGACAGGCATAAACCACAGTTATTTAAACACTGATTTATGAAACCAAACTTAAATAAGTTAGGGTACAATATGAGGAAAATGTATATACCTAGAGATTTTGGCAGCAGGATTTTGACAAATTCATTGTGGTCCCCTACGTGCAGGATGCTATATATGCTTGTGTTCATCAGCTCTTCTTGGTTGTACCTTAGGTACTGAGTCACATTCTCAGAAACAAACATGACGTTGCCTTCTGGGTTCACTACGAAGAAGATCCCATCTAGGGCCTGAGGGGAGGAGAGAGAGAGGAAAAAAAAAAAAAAAAGGGAGAGACACAACACCAAACAATTAGATTAACAAAAGATATCCAGAAAATCACCATTTCTTTCAGCAGACATATCTGAATGATTCTACACCTATCCCAGTTCTAATATTCTCATCTTTAATAGCAAAGTAAACATTTCATATGGAGGAACTAAAATTACTTTTATCAAAACCACTTTAAAATCATGGAAAGACACACACTGTGCAAAATACCATAATAATAACCTGCACTGCTACCTACCTGCCTGGGACACTACACTAGGAAACCTCCATGAGGACCTAGCTCTCAGTCCTAGCGCCCTGCATGCAGTGCAGGATTGATCCCAACCTCCAGGGAAAAGCACCCCAGGACTTTCTGACATCAAAAACCCCGAACGACCCAAACCAGACACCCCTGGATGGGCCTTTCTCGATGTGCCCCTGCAGTGTGTCCTCATCCAGGCGGGTATTCGAAAGCACTTGGAATTTCTGCAAGGTAATGTCTAATTAGGACTTTTTTAAATTACACTGTTTGGTTTTTCCCCCATCACCTGTGCGAGGGACAGCCTAGCTGAAGGATTTTTTCCAATATATCTGCTGTGCATTATCTGAAACCTAAGCCAAATATTACATCATTTCTGCCTGCTCAGGATAAAATAAACATTTCAATAGCAGTAAGATGTTCTCAGGCATAATACTTCTTTTCCTTAATACACAGGCATGATCGGACATTCTAGAAATGATTGAGAGTCTGACCCTTTTTGTTCCATGAGCAGAGGCCTTTAAATTTAAGGCACCGCAACTTTGAACTTAAGCATTTCAATAAAAAATGCAACCCTTGCAGACTTCTGCAGCTTTGCCCACTTTATTCATCTCTCTAAAGGCTGGTGGGAAATCAGTAAAACAGGGGCTAGCTTCAAAAAAATCACTATGAAGATGGTCAAATATGGGAACATGTTGCTCAACAGGCTCTGAAACCTCCACCCTCGGAGATACTCAAAACCCAGTCAGACAAGACCCTAAACCACCTTCTCCTGCTGGACCTGCTCTGCGTGGGAGCTTGGACTAGGTGATCTCCAGAGGTTCCTTCCACACCAAATTAACTTGTGATTCGTTTAGGAGAAAGGGGACCATGAAAGCACAACATACAAGCAGAGCAATTACACGAATGCCAGATTGCCAAATGCTTTGGGTGCTCTATTTTAGATTACAAAATAACAGGATATACAAATATGTGCACAACTGTATGTTCTCCCTGACTGCTTTTAAATTAAGAAAACCTCGGTCCTCTCTCTCCAGTTTTTGTGTGTGTGTGTTTTTCATTGCATCTTCATGCATTTCATTTAATTTCTTTTTGTTTTGGGCCATTCTTGCTTCTTCCCACTAATTCATTTTCCTTAGAGAGCTCCCCTCTTTCCGTGTGCTTTTCCGAACAGGAGTGGCAGGCAGCAGACAATTGGAGTTAGTGGCCTTCCACAGGGACTTCCTTCCCTTTCCCCCACTATTCCCTGTGCCACCTCCTCAGGGCTACCTGCTGTGCTCACCGCAGACGAGCTCGGGCATCCCAGCCCACCTCCTGACTGGGAGAGGAACCTGCCTTCTGCGTCACATTCCCATTTCCCTCCAGCCCAGACACAAAAGTCACAACAAACCAATCATTCAGGCAAGCAGCAGCCTTTCGAGCAAGCTTATGCATGAAGTCACTTAAATCTTTTGGATGCTTCCACTTCTGCACTAAGTAAGTCCCTCGTTCTGTTCCCAGGTGTCTATCACCGTAATTAGCAACGGGAACAGGGACGAAGGCCAGACACTTTTCTTCAGAGCTATGGGTGCAATGGGGGAACGAGTAATAGACGACGTGTTTCTGTTTTTCCCCTCTCTCTTGATATATACTTTGCTGCTTTAACCAAGAAATATGTTAAAACATTCCTCAGAGGCAGCTATGTGCTGAATTCTCCTACTTCCTCACAGCAGGAAGGAATCCTTTCTAGTTGGAGGATTCTTCAGCCAGGTTTGCTAAGGATGCATAAAGGTGTTTGCAAAGACAAAGGAACTTGATTTCCTTTAAGGAGATAAAGGCACAAAGTACCTGCAGTCTTCCCACAACAAATACCTAACGACTTTCAGTCCTCAGTTTCTTGTTGCAAAAAGACCACCATTTATTAATTCTGTTCCACAGTTTTTTGTTGCTAACATGAAACATTTTGGTGTAAAAGAAAAATAACAATAATAATAAAGGAGAATAACATAACAAAAGGGTGATTTTACATGTTGTGTTTGGTGCAATATGTAATCATATAAAATAATCTAGGAAAAAAAAATCTTATTTTCCCCATGATTAAAACGTATCCTTACAGTTAATTTTGTGAGGATTTTACAATTTTAACATAGGAATAATTAACATAATGAGATGGAAAGCTGAACCTGGTTTGATAGCAAAAACTACATTCAGTGAACATGTATAATAAATATTAAATTAAATCAATTTGTTTATTATCCCAGCTTTTCAAAGAAGAGTGTTTTCATTCCAACCTGTCTAATCTTCCTAATGTTTAGTACTGAGGTTTTGGAGCCTTCATATAAAAGTAGAGAAAACTGTTTTTCTCTAACAAATCATGAAAAATAATGCAAATACCTAAAACTGATAAAACATGTGTCTTCCCAAGGCAACATTCAGAAATGACAGAATAATTACACATCTGCCAAAGTGGGCTCCTTTAGCTAGATTCAGAGTTTTACGCTTTATTTTACCTAAACTAGCACCTACTCGTACAGGTCAAGGTGCCAGTGGGGACCGCAGGCAGCAGCGGTGCCGATGGAGAGCACGATGACGTGAGGATCCCAGATCCCACGCTGTGGCAACATTATTACGAATACATTTAGAAGCCAAGCAGCCTCTGCTTATATCAAAACCACAGAGCTGAAAGTCAGGCAAAAATCTTTGTTAAACTACCCAAAACACGTATCTCAAAGTTCTCCCAGGTTACTTTCAGATTCTAGAGGGAAGAGTCACGCTGTAAAGTGCTGGCATGATAAATCATGAAAACTGCACAGCAATGACATGCAATTTGAGCTGAACTGTTACTCATGTGCACCCTACTGCATCCACAAGTTGGTGCTCAGGTAGAACAGGCCCTGCAGTCTGCCCTGGTTCGGAGCAAGCAAGAGCTGCACATCCGGGCACCCCGAGCTGCTGAGATGGCTACAGACCGAAGCACTTGAGCTATCAGCAAAACCCAACAGCTGAATTCTCTCTTCCTCCCGCCCCCAAGGGAAGTTTCCTCGCTGAACCCCAGGGAAACATGCACCCTCTTCCTAAGTGCCATAATCCAAAACAGTCAGGGTGGCTTCTCTTGAAGAGCAAACTCCTGCTGCCCTCCTCCACTTCCTTACGCTGCTCGGCACCTATGGGAGCAGAACTGGAGTAAATAAAAGGGAAACGTGCGCTCTTCACCTCAAGCATCATTGGTCCAAGTGCATCCTTGTCAATGACACTCTGACCTGTAGATGACACATCTGCTTTTTGCACTTCATCTTCGTTAGCTGCTGCTGCTTTTTCTGCAATAAAGAGAACTATGTATTAAAAGACACAGCAGTGCCAGGCACACGAGGTGACGAGAGTCCACAGTACATGCAGCCTAGTTGTTAAGCAGTTACAATGCAACAATACTGAAAATGAGATTATTTAGTCTTCAACAATGATTCAACAGAAATTATAACTAGTATATACTTCAATTTTACCACACCAATTAAATCATTTCAGCTCTTTCTCTGCTAGACACTTCCCTAAATCACAAAACATGAAACCCGGTGAAGACAAGGACTCCTTAGGAAGGTGCAGTGAGCAACACTCAGGATCCAGGTGCGTTAAGGGACAGATCTAAAGCCATATGCAAAGCTCACGGCTACACAACTTTTCCACAATTGCTATATTTAGAAGGAAAAATGCAAATCTGCAATCTACTGTTTCATTACTGTGAGGCAGCAGTCTCATTTCCCCCCCACGCCTCCGCCCACAGCTTTACTATCATATAACCTTCACGCTGTCCTATTTAGCAACGCTACTACAAAACGTACAATTTCGAGTGCTTTAGTTGAAAAATTACAAGCAAGAAAATAATGATTTAAGGCTCCTGGAGTATAACACCACATATTACAGTATTACACTATCACATATCATACTTAACTCCTAATGTAAGCAACAGTCACACACACCAGAACATTCGAACCAAGAAGGTTTATATGTCACATCAAGCAATGAACTGTATTAAGTTTTCTACTCCAGGAATGATATTGGTGCTTAAGGGAGAAGTAATTAAAATACCACAAAAAACACATACCTGATATGCTAAGTTAATAAAACACAAGAGTAGTTTTTGTTGCTAATTTTTTTCCCTTTTTTTTTTTTAAGTAAGTGTATAATTTTATTTTTTAAAGAAATGCAAAAGGGCTTTGCTGAGATTTAGAACTTTAAAAATCTTTTAAGGTTTTTATTACAAATATTATGCAATAAATTATTTTAATAAATACAAAAGCACCATGAACTTACACTACTCAACCAGCATGAATGCCCTATGCAACAGCAAACCAAGACACACGTCATTGTGGGAATTACGGAACGCACCTCACGGGATGGACCAAAGGGCCACTGCGAAAACCCCCTTGCGGGAAAATTAAAGGATCTTCGGACAAACTAAAACATATCCAAGCAGACGGGATTTTCCCCTGTGTGCAGCCCTGGCTCCTCGGAGCTCCCTCCTTGGCAGCAGTCGGAGACAGAGGGCAGGTACTGGGCTTACACACCAGGCGCAGGAAGCGCTTCCCAGAATTCCGGGATGTTCTGATACCAGTGATACCCACCAGCAACTGGGCTTCGGACACTTGCTCATCCCGGGCTGCTGCGGTTTGGCGCTTCCATCAAGAAAAGCGTTAGGAAAATCCTGTCTCGCTTCTCACGGTGCTTTCATGGACAGCGTGGCACCACAGTGAGTAAAGACGGCTGAAGATGAACTGTTCAGACTAACAGATTACTCTAATTGCTTAGAAATAACAACGCTAGAAATAAATACAGACCCTTGCTCTGGCACTTGAACTCACCGGGATACTAATAACCAATTCTGGCTTAAACTGGGCACTGCAGTAGACTTTTTATTTGGGTGAAAGGTAGAGTTTAGGCGAAAGGGAAAAAAAAATCAGAGTCCTTTGCACCCCACAACATAGAAGAGTTGGTGCCATATGATGATACAAGATTGAAAAAATATTCTAAAAATTCTAAAAGAATTCTCAAAGACTCTAAACATAGGGTTGAGCTTTTATTGAAGTCTGCAAGTCAAGTGCCGTCACCGGGAGCCAAGGGATGGGCTGGAAAAGCCAATCAGTTCTTCGGAGATCCAGCATGTGGGGCTGACCGGGAAGGAGAATTTGATGAGGAAAGGTTGGGGGAAAAGCTCAAAAACTGAGAGATTGATTCTAGTGGCGACAGCACTCATGGCTTCAGCACAAGTCTGTATTTTGTGTTTTTCTTACAGTTGTAACGGTGGAAAAAATGTTAGGTTTACTTTTCCTTTTTTCCTTCTCCTATCTCTTTCTGGGCTCCCTGGAGGCCCTACACACAAATGAAAAGAACAGAGAGTTTCTTATTTCTAAACTAGATTAATGATTTTTGAATGTTAGGGGTTAAGAAAATAGCTGCAGAGGCCCAACCTCGCCAAGACTCTCAGGAGTGGATTTTTTTTCCCCTTCTTTCCTCCCGGTTTCACAGGAATTGATGGTGTTCCTCTGGGACTACCCGCAGCCCTTCCCTTTTTCCACTGGAGCCGCAGAGCATGGAGCACGGGAGCTGTTTTTGCCCGATCTCGCCCAGGCCGCCTCCGGGAACAGGTTCGGCTCTGTTCCGATGGGGAACGCAGGGAAAACGTTACGAGGCGCTTGCAAGAGAGGCAGGGAAAACTGAGCGGAGATTTGGTACGGACAGAAATAGAGCCTCACGCCAGCTCAGGAAGCGACGGGGGGAAAGGGGCTTCCCACAGCTTCACCTCTGCAAAGGGCTTCTCTGCTCAGGCGTCGCCACCCACCCTCAGGAGTTCAACAGAGAAGGAGGATAAACTCAAACCCAGAGCGTTCCCAATGAACACGGCTAGCAGGGATCAGGCACATGCTGCCTAAGTTAAAGTGGAATAAACTTCCAACTAAACAAATAAAACAGGATTGCTCTTAAGAGAGGTACTACAAAGAATATGTGCACCCAAATATGTGGTATTTCAGTAATATGCATAACAGGTTTATACTGTGAATGTTTGCAATTGTATAAACAGGAATACACTAAAATATGTATTAACATTTGCAATTGGGCATTTCCTACTAATCAGAAATTGTATCTGTTTTCCTCTATTCATATGTAGAAGGGAAAAAAAAGGGCAATACAGCTTTGCTGCCAAATTCATCAGTGGGACAGTCAAGTCTTATTTGAAGTTCATTCTGGTTTCTGAAGACAAACCTTTGTGAAATCACATCAGATTAACAGGAATTCCTAAATCAGAGGAATTATTGCCAAAGGCAATAGTTTGAAGTCTCCCGCTGTGTTTCAACTTAGAAAAATGTGCCAATTTTCTAGCATTCTGACATCTCCCAACTCAGATAGGGCGGCTCGCTTTGGAGAGCTGACAGAAGAATTCGAAGTGGAAATGACTGGCATGTTGTTTTCTCTGTCCTGGCTAAAACAGTACATTCCTACAGGTGTATGGTCATGACTAAATGAGAAATTCTGGCAGTTCTCTTCATCTCTTTCCATGTTTTATTCCAGTTTCCTCCAGGAGCCTCATTTAATCTCTCCCGACACTTTGTTCCTTTTTGCAAAGTCAAACTCTAGTGCAAATTAATGAGATTTCTGCTTGCAAAATAAATAAAAAAAAAGTAGTCTCTTTAGGGACTGCAAAAAGATGAAGAATGCTCCAAAAGAAGTTTTGCATCCACACATCTGCCAGAGGAGCAACACTTCTGTATTATACTTCAGAGGAGAAGAGGAACAAAAAGAAAAGCAGGTGAAACATTAGAGCAGAACCAGTGCTGAAAAACTGTCGAGGGAAAAGGTCAATAGAAAAAAACGGTAATAGCAGAAACAACTATATTATCCAAAACTGCTTGAAAGAGGTTTTCTTAGGTGCCCCACACAATTCACGTGCTTTGTAATTTTCTGGATTTACTACTGAAATGTCACACCCATCTAAAATCATGTACTCTCACACATGAAAAGTCTAAGCAAAGACATTTATTATAAAGGACACTATAAAGCTTAGCTCTGCACACAAAAAAGAAGAGCTACGACTCAAGAAGGATACTTATTATATATAAACAGCAATGTCACTTGAAAGCGATTGCAAATGCTGTATGAATAAACGTGCAATTGCCTTGTGTGGTGCAGCTGGCTTGAAAACAACACATCCTCTCTGGTTTTTGCAGGCATCAGATGACTACCTTAGTCTGAGGTTCATATCTCTGAATGGATTTGCCCTGGGTGGTCCTTCTGATCTCTCCCAACTTACTGGGTAACAGCAAAGCACAAACAAACAAATAAGGAAATAGTAAAAGTGCGTAATTGGCCAAGGACAGGGACAGATGTGATGTTAGAACCTAATGTTAACATTTGCCAGGAAGACTAATAGCCAAACTGGTAGATTTCAGCTGATATGACCCTTTAAAATATTAGATTTAATAACACTTGCAGATGACTAGCTAAATGATGATGTTGATGGCAGCCCTGGACAGAAAGCGGGTAACATGAATAGGGCCACACAAAAAGTACCTTCAAAGGTATTAGCTTAAGAAAAAAAAAAGAAAAAAAAAGAAAAGAAAAAGAAAGCAGAAAAAAAAGAAGAGTAAGAAAAAAAGATAAAAGAAGATTCCATTTGGTAATGTTAGTAGCTTTGGATCATGACACAAAAAATGCAACACATGATGAAGCTGAGCAGTAAAGAAAGCCCAAGCTATTTTGATGCTTGGTTAACCACAGGGAAAGAAGTTTTGTCTTGTAGTTGCATAATTCAAAGCCTGGGAAGCCAGGGCCCAACTGGAAGCTGATACCCATCTGCACATTTGCTAACCAGTCCACGCTGCCTCAACCCAAGTTGTTGCTTTCCTCCCCGAAACCAGCTAATTTTTCAAAAGACCAATGTTGAAGAAACAGTAACTATTTCAGTGATCGGTTTTAGGAGCAGCTTATGCCACCCCTGTAAATAAAGGCAGCTAATATTTTAGGGAAGGGAGGCTGCAGCGAAGGGAGTTGCTCTATCATCGCATAGAGCAAGGGAGCCATTAGACTCCTGAGCACATTTTTCACTCGAAAACTATAGACTGAACCTTGCCGGAGAAACTATGCAACATCCCAGGAAGGTTTCAGGAGGTAAAATAAGGGAGAATTATGCATCTGTACTGACCTAAAATTAGAAAAGCTGCCATATGGCTCCGCGAAGCCAGCAGCACGTTCCTATTCATTAGGAAGCATTCTGCTAACATAAAAACACGAGGCCTTCCTGTGCTCTCCAAATGTGTTTATCTTTTCA